CCTCTCTCCTCTCTTCTCACCTGGGCTACTCCTTCCTTCCTTCCTTCCTTCCTTCCTTCCTTCCTTCCTTCCTTCCTTCCTTCCTTCCTTCCAAGGCATATTCTGTCCAGTTTGAAGCATAGACGGGATGAAGTAGTGAAGCCTCTCTCTTTTTCTCTTTCTAGCATCCTTTCTTCTCTCTTCCCATCTGGGCCCCTCCCTCCCTCCTTTCCAAGGTATATTCTGTCCAGTTTGAGACATGGACAGGATAATAAATACATAAATAAATCTTTATTTCTATCTCGCCTCATCTCCTTGAAAGGACTCCGGGCGGCTGACAAGCATGAGTAAATGACATATATAGGAATAGATAACCAATCAATCACAAGGAGACAAAATAATATAAAACAAAATGGACAAATGGAACAATAAACAGCAAAAACGTTCATTGAAAGACAGTATTTCCACTAGATTAAATAAACGAGATAAAAAACAAAATACCCTGAGTTTCCATAGAGCAAAAAGATCTCATCCACATTAAGGGGGATATTATTCATAATTTCCAAAGGCCTGTTTGTTGTCTTTAAGTGCTGAAGCCTCTCTCTCTCTCTCTTCATTTCTCTTCCTAGAATCCTTTCCCCTCTTCCCACCTGGGCCACTCCTTCCTTCCTTCCTTCCTTCCTGACTGACTTCTCTCCTTCCTTCCTTCTCTTTCTTTCTTTCTTTCCTTCCTTCCTTCCTTCCTTCCTTCCTTCCTTTCTTCCTTCCTTTTTTCTTCTTCTTCTTTCCTTCCTCTTCCTTCCTCTCCTTCCTTTTTCCTTCCTTTTCCTTCTTCTCTTTCTTCTTTCTTTTCTTTCTTTCTTCTTTCTTCCTTTCTTCTTCCTTCCTTCCTTCCTTCCTTCTTTCCTTCCTTCCCTTCCTTCCTTCCTTCCTCCTTCCTTTCCTTCCTTCCTTCCTTCCTTCCTTCCTTCCTTTTTCCTTCCTTCCGTCCTGCCTTCTTTCCTTCCTGCTTTCCTTTCTTCTTTCCTTTCTGCCTTCCTTCCTTCTTTCCTTCCTTCTTTCCAAGGTATATTCTGTCCAGCTCGAAACATGGACGGGATGAAGGAGCGAAGGCTCTCTCTCTCTCTCCTTTTCTCTTCCCCGCATCCTTTCCCCTCTTCTCACCTGGGCCACTCCTTCCTTGTTTCCTTCCTTCCTGCCCGCCTTCTCTCTTTCCTTTCTTCCTGCCTTCCTTCTTTCTTTCCTTTCCTTCCTTCTTTCCTTCCTTCCGTCCTTCTTTCTTTTTTCTTTCCTTCCTTATTTCCTTTCCTCCGTCTTTCTTTCTTTCTTTCCTTATTTCCTTATTTCCTTCCTGTATGCCTGCCTTCTCTCTTCCCGCTTTCCCTCGTTCCTTTTTCCTTCATTATTTCCTTTTCTTCCTTCCTTCCTTCCTTTCGTCCTTCTTTCTTTCTTTTTTTCTTTCTTTCCTTACTTATTTCCTTCCTGCCTGCCTACTTGCCCACCTTCTCTCTTTCCTTCCTTCTTTCCAAGGTATATTCTGTCCAGCTCGAAACACGGACGGGATGAAGGAACGAAGCCAATTTCTCTTTCTTTTTTCTCTTCTCCTCTCTTCCCACCTGGGCCACTCCTTCCTTCCTTCTTTCTTTTTTTCTTTCCTTTCTTATTTCCTTCCTTCCTGCCTTCTCTCTTTACTTCCCACCTTCCTTCCTTCATTTTTCCTTCATTCTTTCATTTTCTTCCTTCCATCTTGCCTTCCTTCCTTATTTCCTTCCTGCCTGCCTACTTGCCCACCTTCTCTCTTTCCTTCCTTCTTTCCAAGGTATATTCTGTCCAGCTCGAAACACGGACGGGATGAAGGAACGAAGCCAATTTCTCTCTCCTTTTCTCTTCCTAGTATCCTTTCTCCTCTCTTCCCACCTGGGCCACTCCTTCCTCCCTCCCTCCCTCCCTTCTTTTCTTTCTTTCCTTCCTTATTTCCTTCCTGCCTGCCTGCCTTCTCTCTTTACTTCCCACCTTCCTTCCTTCATTTTTCCTTCATTCTTTCCCTTCCTTCCTTCCTTCCTTCCTTCCTTCCTTCCTTCCTTCCTTCCTTCCTTCCTTCCTTCCTTCCTTCCTTCCTTCCTTCCTTCCTTCCTTCCTTCCTTCCAAGGTATATTCTATTCAGCTCGAAACACGGACGAGATGAAGGAGCGAAGCCTCTTTCTCTCTCTTTTCTTTTCCTAGTATCCTTTCTCCTCTCTTCCCACCTGGGCCACTTCTTCCTTCCTTCTCTCCTTCCTTCCTGCCTTCCTTCCTCCCTTTTTTCCCTCTTTCCTTCCTTCCAACCTTTCTTTCTTTCCTCCCTTCTTTCCAAGGTATATTCTGTCCAGCTCAAAACACGGACGGGATGAAGGAGCGAAGCCTCTTTCTCTCTCTTTTCTTCTTCCTAGTATCCTTTCTCCTCTCTTCTCCTTCCTTCCTTCCTTCCTTCCTTCCTTCCTTCCTTCCTTCCTTCCTTCCTTCCTTCCTTCCTTCCTGCCTTTTCTCTTTACTTCCCGCCTTTCTTCCCTCTTTCTTGCCTTCCTTCCTTCTTTCTTTTCTTGCGTCCATCTTTCTTTTCTTTCTTTCTTTCCTTCCTTCCTTCCTTCCTTCCAATGTATATTCTATTCAGCTCGAAACACGGACGAGATGAAGGAGCGAAGCCTCTTTCTCTCTTCTTTTCTTAGTATCCTTTCTCCTCTCTTCCCACTCCTTCCTTCCTTCTCTCCTTCCCTCCTGCCTTCCTTTTCTCCCTCTTTCCTTCCTTCCAACCGTTCTTTCTTTCTTTCCTTCCTTCCTTCCTTCCAAGGTATAGTCTGTCCAGCTCGAAACACGGACGGACTGAAGGAGCGAAGCCTCTCTCTCTCTCTCCTTTTCTCTTCCTAGCATCCTTTCTCCTCTTTTCCCACCTGGGCCACTCCTTCCTTCCTTCCTTCCTTCCTTCCTTCCTTCCTTCCTTCCTCTTCCTTCCTTCCTTCCTTCCTTCCTTCCTTCCTTCCTTCCTTCCAAGGTATATTCTATTCAGCTCGAAACACGGACGAGATGAAGGAGCGAAGCCTCTTTCTCTCTCTTTTCTTTTCCTAGTATCCTTTCTCCTCTCTTCCCACCTGGGCCACTTCTTCCTTCCTTCTCTCCTTCCTTCCTGCCTTCCTTCCTCCCTTTTTTCCCTCTTTCCTTCCTTCCAACCTTTCTTTCTTTCCTCCCTTCTTTCCAAGGTATATTCTGTCCAGCTCAAAACACGGACGGGATGAAGGAGCGAAGCCTCTTTCTCTCTCTTTTCTTCTTCCTAGCTTCCTCTCCTCTTCCTTCCTTCCTTCCTTCCTTCCTTCCTTCCTTCCTTCCTTCCTTCCATCCTTCCTTCCTTCCTTCCTTCCTTCCTGCCTTTTCTCTTTACTTCCCGCCTTTCTTCCCTCTTTCTTGCCTTCCTTCCTTCTTTCTTTTCTTGCGTCCATCTTTCTTTTCTTTCTTTCTTTCCTTCCTTCCTTCCTTCCTTCCAATGTATATTCTATTCAGCTCGAAACACGGACGAGATGAAGGAGCGAAGCCTCTTTCTCTCTTCTTTTCTTAGTATCCTTTCTCCTCTCTTCCCACTCCTTCCTTCCTTCTCTCCTTCCCTCCTGCCTTCCTTTTCTCCCTCTTTCCTTCCTTCCCCGTTCTTTCTTTCTTTCCTTCTTCCTTCCTTCCAAGGTATAGTCTGTCCAGCTCGAAACACGGACGGACTGAAGGAGCGAAGCCTCTCTCTCTCTCTCCTTTTCTCTTCCTAGCATCCTTTCTCCTCTTTTCCCACCTGGGCCACTCCTTCCTTCCTTCTTTCCTTTCTTCCTTCCAAGGTATAGTCTGTCCAGCTCGAAACACGGACGGGATGAAGGAGCGAAGCCCCTTTCTCTCTCTTTTCCTCTTCCTAGCATCCTTTCTCCTCTTTTCCCACCTGGGCCACTCCTTCCTTCCTTCCTTCCTTCCTTCCTTCCTTCCTTCTTCCTTCCTTCCTTCCTTCCTTCCTTCCTTCCTTCCTTCCTTCCTTCCTTCCTCCTTCTCTTCCTTTCTTCTTAGTCTGTCCAGCTCGAAACACGGACGGGATGAAGGAGCGAAGCCCCTTTCTCTCTCTTTTCCTCTTCCTAGTATCCTTTCTCCTCTCTTCCCACCTGGGCCACTCCTTCCTTCCTTCCTTCCTTCCTTCTTCTTTTTCTTTCCTTCCTTCCTTCCTGCCTTCCTTCTCTCCTTCCTTCCTTCCTTCCTTCCCTCCTTCTTCCTTCCTTCCTTCCTTCCTTCCTTCCTTCCTTCCTTCCTTCCTTCCTTCCTTCCCTTCTTTCCTTCTTTCTTTCCTTTTTCCTTCTTCCTCCAGTTATATTTTTTTTTAAGGAGACAAATCACATCAGGGGAAATCGTCACCCAACTTTCCTTCTTCTCTCCAAAGGAGGCTGATTGAATTAAAGGGCAAGGAGGCTTCTTGAAGAAGGAGGGAGAGAGGGAGGGGAAGAGGGGATGAAGGAAAGAGAGAGAGAAGGCAGGGGACGTCAATGGTGTGTATTAAATCCTAATTAGAGATGCAGGAATCAGCCGGGGGGGAGTTGGACAGCTCGGCCTGCCTCTCCCTTCCCTCTTTTCCCCTCCCTCCTCCCCTCCTCCCTCCCTCCTTCCCCCCTCCCCTCCCCATTTGCCAGCCCAATAGACTGATGAGTTATTGTCATGTAAAAAGCGCCCGCGCTCCATCCAGACCCACCGCTTCGCTATTGTCCAAGTGGAAAGAGCCAAGTTTATTATGAGGACTATATGCTCTAGAGACCTCGGGCCAGGCAGCTCATAGGAGCCCGGCTGGGTTGGTGTGGGGTTGGGTTTTTTTTTTCCTCCCTTCCCTCCTCGTATCATAAAGCTGGGCTAGTTGCAGGGAGGCCACTCTCCCTCTCAGTCTGGGAGCGAGAGCCGAGCTGCGCGCACCTCTCTCCTTCTCTCTCTGCTTCCCTCTCTCTGCCCCTCCGCGACCCCTCTGCCGGGCCACCCGGAGCCTCCGCCAGCCCGCCAATGTATAAAATGGAATACTCCTACCTCAACTCCTCCGCCTACGAGTCCTGCATGGCCGGCATGGACACCTCCAGCCTGGCCTCGGCGTACGCGGACTTCAGCTCGTGCAGCCAAGCCGGCGGCTTCCAATACAACCCCATCCGGACCACCTTCGGGGCCACGTCGGGATGCCCTTCCTTGGCGCCGGGCTCCTGCAGCCTGGGCAGCCTTCGCGACCACCAGAGCAGCCCCTACGCCGCAGGTAAGGCCTCCCCATCCACCCGCAATTTGCTTACACAAATGAAAGGGATTTATCACGTTAGAAGGAGGGGGAGGGAAAGGAGAGAGAGAGAGAGAGAGAAAGGAGGGGAGGCGGGTGGGTGTAATTCACTTACCCCCGTTACACGATCCGGAGGAGAAGAAGTCACACCCGGAACCCGCCAACGAAATTATCCCGAGCTGCCAAAATGATCGGCGTAATGTGTTTACTTACTTTGCGGAGGGAGAGAGACCGGGAGGAATAATTAAATAAGCCCAGAGAGGGAAAGAAAGCTCATTACTGGCACCGCAGTCCTCTTCCTCCTCCTCACTCGCTTGGGTTTTCCTTTTGGAAAGCTGCATCTACACTGTCTTTCTATCCCAGGATCGGATCGTGGGGCTTGCAAGATTATTCTCTTTTGGGATAGTCACAGGGTGCCTTAAACCTTTTGGAAAGCTACACGATCTCTGTATCCCGGGATCGGATCTTGGGGCTTGAAAGATTATCTTGTGGAATAGTCACAGGATGCCTTAAACCTATCTTTATATCCCAGGGGCTTGCAAGATTATTATGTTGCAGGATAATCACAGGATGCCTTAAACCTTTTGGGAAGCTACACTTTCTTTATATCCCAGGATCGGATCTTGGGGCTTGCAAGATTATTCTCTTGCGGAATAATCACAGGATGCCTTAAACCTATCTTTATATCCCAGGGGCTTGCAAGATTATTATCTTGCGAGATAATTACAGGATGCCTTAAACCTTTTGGAAAGCTACACTATCTTTCTATCCCAGGATAGGATCTTAGGGCTTGCAAGATTATTCTCTTCCGGGATAATCACAGGATGCCTTAAACTTTTTGGAAAGCTACACTATCTCTGTATCCCAGGATCTGATTTTAGGGCTTGCAAGATTATTATCTTGCATAATAATCACAGGATGCCTTAAACCTTTTGGGAAGCTACACTACCTCTATATCCCAGGATCCTATCGTGGGGCTTGCAAGATTATTCTCTTGCGGAATAATCACAAGACGCCTTAAACCTACACCTGTTGATAAATTCTACAAGCTAGCTGGCACTGAATGTGCAAGGGGAAGTAGCTGCTAAATGTGAGAGAAATAAGGTCAAGCACTATGACAACACTCTTGTTACATCCCCAAATAGACTACTGTAATGCACTCTATGTGGGGCTGCCTTTGAAGACTACCCATGATGATGATGATGATGATGATGATGATGATGATGATGATGATGATGATAATAATCTTTATTATTTATGTGATAAAGTTTATTGAAGACTACTCATGATAATAATAATAATAATAATAATAATAATAATAATAATAAACTTTATTATTTATGTGAGGAGCCCCCGGTGGTGCAGTGGGTTAAAGCCCTGTGCTGGCAGGACTGAAGACCCACAGGTCGCAGGTTCGAATCCGGGGAGAGGCGGATGAGCTCCCTCTATCAGCTCCAGCTCCTCATGCGGGGAATGAAAGAAGCCTCCCACAAGGATGATAAAAACATCAAAAATCATCCGGGTGTCCCCTGGGCAACGTCCTTGCAGACGGCCAATTCTCTCACAACAGGATGCTCCTGACACGACAAAAAATTATTTATGTGGGGCTGCCTTTGAAGACTACCCATGATAATAATAATAATAACAATAATAATAATAATAATAATAATAATAATAATAATAATAATAATCTTTATTTAATACCCCGCCATCAGCTCCCCAATGGGGACTCTGGGTGACTTACATGAGGCCAAGCCCAACACCGCCATAAGCCGAGAGAGGGAAAGAAAGCTCATTACTGGCACCACAGCCCTCTTCCTCCTCCTCACTTGCTTGAGTTTTCCCTTTGGAAAGCTGGATCAACACTTTCGTCCTATCCCAGGATAGGATCTTGGGGCTTGCAAGATTATTATCTTGTGGAATAATCACAGGATGCCTTAAATCTTTATATCCCAGGATCGGATCTTGGGGCCTGCAAGATTATTATCTTGCGGAATAATTATAGGATGCCTTAAACCTTAGAATAGAGAGATATAAAACAAAGCATTGACAGGGAGATAGAACAGAGGAAGCTCATCTGCAAACCTACTAGAAGGCAATTTGGTGCCATAGATCATTTAACACAGTAGAAAGCTTTTTACAATTATATTCAACCTTATAATAATAATGGCTGTGAATAAAATTCATACATAATCTATGAAATATAATATCTAACAAAAGAGTGTCACAAGTGAAGAACCTCCTCCTTCCTTTTAAATAATCTTTTTTTCTGATGGGTAGTTTATTTTCAAAAGAGTAAAGCTGAGACTTACCATCCATGGGTTCTTCCACACTCTACAACAGTGACAAATGGCACTACAATTCCATATTAACTACTATGGCGACAGGCTGGGGGGGGGGGGCTTGGGGGGCTTCAGCCCCCCCCCCCCGAAATTCTCATGGTGGTCCGCGAGAAGGCCTTACTGGTACATTATTTAAACTGTTATGTTTATTCATATCATGATCTGATCACCATGCTCAATATATCCCATATGAATGGGGGTATTGGGGTAACGATACAAAAGGTTTGCTAGGGTAGACCCTCTTTCACTCAGACTCACCCCCCCCCCAAAACAAACTCAGCCCCCCAAAAAAACAAAATCCTGGCTATGGGCCTGTATGGTGACATCCTATGAAATCCTGGAATTTGGAATCAAGGGCATGTCTTGATGGCAAGTTACCATCAATCACCAATATAATCACAGGATGCCTTAAACCATGCTTCTAATTCAGGCTGGATGGTCATCTGTTGGGAGTGCTTTGATTTTATTTTCCCGCATGGCAATGGGTAGGACTGGATGGCCCTCATGGTCTTTTTCAACATGCCAAGTATGCCTGCCCTGTTTGGCATAGGTCTGCCCATGCAAAGTAGGTGAACATAGCATTGAATGAAACATGCAGAATAATCACAGGATGTTTTAAACCTATACCTGTTGATAAATTCTACAAGCTAGCTGGCATTGCCAACCCCCCCCCCCCCATGTGCAAGGGGAAGTGCTGCTAAATGTGAGAGAAATAAGGTTGAACACTGTTAAAACACGTTTGTCACATCCCCAAATAGACTACTGCAATGCACTCTACGTTGGGCTGCCTTTGAAGACTACCAATAATAATAATAATAATAATAATAATAATAATAATAATAATAATAATATTGGTACAACAGGCGTTCATTTTCCGGTCCCAATTCAAGGTGCAGGTTTTGACCTACAAAGCCCTGAACAGTTTGGGACCCGCCTATCTGTGTGACCGCATTTCTGTGTACGAACCCACACTATCTCTTCGATCATCTGGAGAGGCCCTGTTCACGCTCCCACCTCCTTCGCAGGTGCGGGAGAGGGCCTACTAGGTGGTGGCCCCTCCACTCTGGAACTCACTTCCCCGGGACATTAGACATGCCCCAACTTTAGCAGTCTTTAGGAGGAGCCTGAAAACGTGGTTGTTCCAGTGTGCCTTCCCAGAATAAGGAAACTCTCAGCAATATACCCTCAAAATGCACTTTACCACTGATCTAGGACTAACTGCATTCCCTTAATTCTCTCTGAAAATGCTCACATCACGTCAGCATTATTTTAATTTTAATCTATTACATTTGGCCCAGCCATTGGTTTTTTAACATGTTTGCATGTCACTGTTGATTGTTTATTGCTTATTTTTGTTATGTTTATATGAATTGTATTGTATTGATTGCTTTATTTGATGTTTTGTTTATTGATGTGTTGTGGGCTTGGCCTCATGTAAGCCGCACGGAGTCCCTTGGGGAGATGGTAGCGGGGTACAAATAAAGACATTGCATATATTAGAAACCAACACTTTCTAATTACTTTATTTTCCAGATAATAATAAATAATAAATAAATAAATAATAGACTGGGCCACAGCAACACCTGGCAGGAGACGGCTAGTAATAATAATAATAACTTTATTTTTATACCCCACCAACAGGGGCGGCTCATCCATTACTCAAAGTAAGCGGTCGCAGTACACTTTTTTTTGCCAGGGGCGCAGAGGCGCCTCTGTAAATGCCCCTCCACCGTCACTGTCACTTGAGGAGCACCCCTCGGCTCACAACAGCCCTAGCAGTCCGGGGGGGGGGGGGGAGGAGCCTCGACAACCCATTACGCAAAGTAAGCATTTGCGGTATAGTTGATTTTGCCCAGGGGCACTCTTGAAGTGCTCTTGGGGGAAAATAGACCTTGACATATGTGAGTTGTAGTTACTGGGGTGTATAGTTCACCTACAATCAAAGAGCATTCTGAACTCCACCAATGATGGAATTAAACCAAATATGGCTCACAGAACTCCCACTACGAACAGAAAATATATATCAATGATTGGGGGGGGGGGGGAGCGCCAAAATATTGTTTGCTTTGAAAATTACCTAGGGCCGCCTCTGCCCACCAACCATCTCCCCTAGGTTTCGAGGTGGCTTACAAAGGACAGCCCAAGATTACAATTTAAAACACACATGTAAAACACTTTAAAACATCAGATAAAACAATAACAACACAATTGAAAGAAATATAAAAACAATATGGCTGAAAGAAACATAGCTGAGGTACAGACCCAATGAGTGCATTACATTTTTACAGGAGCACAGGAAAGTGCAACAATACAATAAACCTGCCTAGATTTGGATTTGGTTTTACCAACATGTATAATCTACTACCTAATGAATTATACAATGTGTTTTATTGATTTTTAATGTTCTAAGGATTTTTAATGCTTTCATTGTACTTTGAATTGTTTACTTATTGACAGCATTCTATGGTGCTTGTGTGAGGCTGCCCTGAGTCCCTCTTGGGGGGGGGGTCAAAGTGCATGAAATAAATAAATTAAATAAGTCACCCACTGCATGGCTACCAGCCTCCTCCCAGTAGACTCAAATCAAGGAAAAGCTTTATGAGAACTACCACTCTTCTTGGCATCCCCTCAGCAACAGCA